TATGTATGATGATGATGATGATGATGATGATGATGATGATGATGATGATGATGATGATGATGATGATGATGATGATGATGATGATGATGAGATAGATCTGGATGAGGTGAAGAAGAGTGAAGAGAATCCGGTTACATAAAACCGGATATATATATATATATATATTATATGACCAGTAAATAGCTGCTCGTATTATCGTTTCAAATCGGAAGAAAGATAAATGAAATATTTTTGAAAAAATTTTATCTATGAATAATTATGATGAAAAGTTGTATCCTTCTTTTCCTGTCAATCGATAAATGAACAAACAGAGGAAGCCGCTCATTTTAAATAATTTCCGATATGGGTAAATGTAAAAAGGGATGATGAATTAAAAATTTAATTCGATCTCGTTTATTTACAAAAAGATAAGTGAAAGAGAGAATGATGAATGGATAACATGAAAAAGAAGAAAAAGAAAAAAAAAAAAAAGAAGAAAGAAGAAGAGAAGCTATATCAATATATACCAATTAAACAAACATTGTGAGTAAAATAAATTTATTGATTAAGGATTTTTTAAAAAATGTTAATAAATGCTTCCGTTAGCATTTATTTCAATTATTGATCGATAAATGGGAAGGGATAGAAGAAAATTTTCAATAATTATTTACAAAAATTTTTAAAAATATTCATTTACATGATTGATTGGTTGATTTTCGTTCAATTTTTTTAACAATAAATAATAAATAATTCAATGCAATAAATGTAATATTTTAGGAAAAATTTAATTCAAAAAAATTACCCAAAGTTTGGGTAAATTATTTCCTTTTTTTTTCCCAATTCAAGCAATATTTACTGAATAAATTCAATGATTTAAATGAATAATTTAAAATGATAACAATATGTATAAATATAAACAATATCAATTATAAAATTTTAAAATAACCAATAATAAGCAATGAAATAAAATACATTTACTTTACCCAAATTTTAAGGTAAGATTTTCAACGAAGATATATTTGAATATTTTATTTCTGAAAAAAAAAGAAAAAAAAGAAAAATTCGTTATTCCA